GGTATGTTCTACAATGATATAGGAAACTACAAGAAGAGGCTGTAAGAATACCTCACTAATTCCTCATTGTAAAGAGAGGCCTTCGACTCACGGCTTTTTATGTAAACCTGCAAAGGAAAGACAAATGATCACAGCACGACCTCGATGTTTTGCATGACTATTATTACAACCAGTATGAGAGAGCGAGAACGCAGGGGTAGGGTGTGGTGAAGCAATTGGGAGAAAGAATGACGTTTACTGCAAACAACACAGTAAAACGGTAGACTGGATAGCCACCTGTCACGTGTTTCCCGCCATTTAATTACACTGGCCTTTTTTAAGAGGAGAGTTTTAACGTTCATGATAAACGTGAGAAAACTGTCCTTATAACCTCATGGTAAGTAAGCAATCGCACAGTCGTTTTAACAGTGACGATTTGAAATGTTATGGCTGAAAATGGGGAGCGAGAGATTGCTATTCCTGATATATCCTTTCTAAATAAAGGGAAGGGAAAGCTGAGTAAAAAAAAATTACTCCCTTGAATTTAACAAGAACTCAAAAGTTTCTGGGGAAGGAGGAGAAGGTGAGAAACAGTTGCAACAGTAACATACGTGTCCTTTGAAAAGGTTAAGGGTGACTTTTCCTTCCACGTTTTCCTGGCTTTTCTCCAAACAGAATCGCACATAGTCTGCCTCAGGGCTGTACCAATACCCGCAGTACACTTGGTCAGCAAACTTCCCGGCTAGGGTCTGCTTGATTTTCCGCACTTCCTGTGATAGATGAGCAAACAAATAGCTGCCGTTACATTGGGCATTTTTACGGCGGGATAAGACCCGATAAAACTACGACTGTGGCCGCTTCTTCCGGAGAAGTAACGTCCTTGGCATACAACAATGGAAAAGCCATAAAATTTAAAAGCAAAAAAAGAATCCATGAGAATTATGGGGTTGTTTGACTCGAGTTCCTGAGTCCAGTGATAAAACAACCAATCACAGGATAGCTATTCAATTTCCCGCGTAAAAGAAGCAACGCACGCCGCAAGCAATGCGGGAAAAAACTTGAAGTTTATTGCATTGCAACGCAGAAGACATTCTTTCCCATGACGTGTGTAACCACGACTACCACAGATGGAGAAAACACAGTTAAAAGAAAAAACATCCGTTTACTTAAAGAAAGTATCATTAGCATAAAGCGTTTAAACCTTACCTTATCAGTTTTCTAGAAACCTGTGTCCATTAATAAGCGTTTTACTCATAACGTTTACACGCTGAAACTATCCGGCTTTTAAAAAAAATAGCATTCGTTTAACGTTTGGACAAAACGTTTAAAGGGTCATATTTAATTACTTACTCTGTCCATAGTGAACGTCTCAATGTCAAGGTGCGCAGCTCTCAAAATGGTCCCCGCGGGGCACTCGTAGATTCCTTAAAAAATACACACAAATTTGAAACTGCCCACCTACCCCTCCCCTAAGCCAACATTTTGCCTAAGTGAGAAGTAAGTGTTAATGTTAGCTTAGGGGAGGGGTAGGTGGGCAGTTTCCAAGAAACGTATAATGATCAGTAGTAACTATAGCTGATGTCTTCTTTTAGGACTCTGAGATCGACTTGGCGTACTGCAGAAAAAAACTACAGGGCACCCAGACTCACAACAGCCCACTGAAAGCCAAATTATAAAGATTTGTATGGGAATTTATCGTAAGATCGATAAAACGATCCTACTTTTGTATGCGGCAAAGTACTCAAGGAGAAGGGTTCTTATGTAAATTGTTCTCTCCTCCGCGGAGGATCTCGCTTGGTATCCCAATAAAAATTACAGTAATCGAAAAATAGCAAGCGTGCTGGGGATGATGGGGACAGGGAAGAGGCGGTCCCCGCGGAATCCCCGTGCGCCTTCTAACTTCCCTCTCCCCAGCCTCCCTATGACACAAAGAGGCCTCTGCGGAGGAAAAGTGTAAATTGGGAAATTGAGGGAGAATAATAAATATTTTCTAAGCCATTAATAGAAAATAAGAACCAATAATTCGTTCTTAGCTATTCTGAAACAAGAAGGGAAAGCAGGTGTTGGGCCACTCTTCAATTCAGTTTACCTCTGGATTTCATGCCAACATATCTGTTTTCCACAATATCAATTCTTCCAACACCATGGGCACCACTAAAATGATGCAAAAAAGTAATAACAGTCATTAAAAAAAACTCTAACTTGCGTTTTTAAAAGTAAGAGAGTAAAAATACATTTTTCCCAATGAAATTTCTCCACTGAAAGCGTTTCCATTTTTAGCCTCCAGAACAACCTGAAACCTCTGTGATGTCAAAAAAATCATTGTCGTTTTTAGTTGTTTTAATTTGCGAGAACGCATCTTTTTCCTCTAAAGAATAATAAATAAAATTAAACTAACCCCATCTTATTCAGATAAAGGTAAATATCCAGTGGCTTGTCACGAACAGTGCCATCTTTGAGATTTTGAACTTTGAT